TTTTTTTTTTTTTTTTTTTTTTTTTTTTCTGTCCTTTTTGAGACCGGCCGCACCGTGCTCAGCCAGTGAGCACTGTGAGCACACCGGTCATCCCTATATAGGATCCGAATCCACGGCAGGAGCACTGCTGCGCTCCCAGCGCCACACTCTCCCGAGTGCGCCACGGGCTCGGCCCCAGCTTTTTGAAAACATTTTGAGGAACTGCCAACCTGTTTTCCAAAGTAGTCACACCATTTTACCTTCCCACAAGCAATGTATGAAAGTTCCAGGATCTCCACATCTTTTGCAACGCGTATAATTGTCTGCCTTTTTTTATTACAGCCATCCTAATGGGTGTGAAGTGGTATCTCCCATTCTGTGTATTTTTTTTTTTTTTTCACTTTCTGGATGTTATTATTTGCAGTACAAACATCCAATTTATTAATATTTTTCTTTTATTACTTGTGTTCTTGATGTCATAACCCAAGAAACCTTTGCCTAATGCAGGGTCATGAAGATTTATTTCTGTTTTCTTCAAGAGTTCTATATATTTAGCTCTTACATTTATATCCTTGATTGAGTTAATTTTTGTGGATGGTATAGAGAAGGGATTCAATTTCATTTTTTTTTTTTAGCATCATTTGTTAAGACTATTCTTTCTCCTACTGCATTGTCTTGACACTTGTTGAAAATTAGTTGATCATAAGCATAAGAGTTTATTTCTGGATTCTCAATTCTCTTTTATGATCTATATAGAGGGGACTTCAAAAAGCTCATGAAAAAATAGAATTAAAAGATAAAAGTAAAAAATATAAACTATTTCTCAACATAAGCTCCATCAAGTTCAAGACACTTTTGTAAGCGATGATACCAGCCATTTATTCCATCCCTAAAGAATGGAGGGTCCTGGGAATTTAACCATGTCAGTGCAGTCTTTTTTAAATTATTAACGGAAGAAAAATAGGTGCCCTTTAAAGTTTTTTTTTTAAGATTAGGAAACAAAAAGAAGTCAGAAGGAACTGTAAGAGGGAAGCCTAATGATTTCCCATTGAAAGTCTCACAAAATTGCCTTGTTTGGTGAGAGGAAAGAGCAGGAGCATTGTCATGGTAGAGAAGAAACTGTGTGTGGTAAAACTTTCCCAGGTGTTTCTCTGCTAAAGCTTTGGCTAACTTTTCTGAAAACACTCTCATAATAAGCAGATGTTACCATTCTTTGGCCCTCCAGAAAGTCAACAAGCAAAATGCCTTGAGCATCCCAAAAACCTGTTGTCATGACCTTTGGAATTCAGGAAGTATGAGACTTCCAATTTAGATCTTTTTCCAGATTGTTTTTTGGCTATTCTGGGTTTCTTGTGTTTCCATACGAATTTTAGAATTAGCTGGTCAGTTTCTGCGTTAAAAAGGAAGCTGAGATTTTGGTAGGGATTGTGTTTAAATTTGGGGAGTATGCCATCTTCACAGTAAGCCATCTGAAAAAAAGTCACCTTTTGTAAGAATTGTGTAGAATATTTGAATGTCTGTACAGTGTTAACATCCTTGTTTCACAATACTATATGAGAGTAGTATTTTTGAGTGTTTATTGTGGGCTGGTAGGAGCTGTGTCTATATAAGGGAGAGTACAGACTTAACTATGAAATGCTAAGTATACTTTAAATTTATAAGTTGATTTTCTTTTTCATTTTAGAAACAAATTCATAATGCCAAGGTATTCCCCAGTAAATAAATTTTAAAATGCCAGATTGTATTATGCATATTCAATAAGTTGTTTAAATATAATGTAATTATTCTGTGGAAATCAAGCCTTATTCTCTTAATCAGTACTGCTTTTCAGTAATTCTGTATACTAGTATTTGTCAGCTTTTATTAAGCCAACTCCCCTTCAAACGTAATTAGATGTCCCAAATAACATCCAGCCTGAAGATTTTTTAAATTCTCAATATAAACTTTTTTGTGTGATAGTATTTCACTCACATAATTATATGGGTAAGAAAGCAATTAAAATGCCAAGCTGAGTTAATTACTGTAAATACTATAATGTCAGTGTTTTCAGTACAACAGAGTTAAGGATTTAAACCACCTTTTAACATTGTGCTCCAATTTTGGTTTGATTGATTCAAGCTTGTTTATCTTTGCTATTAACAAATGGGCATTTTAATTTATTCTACTTATTTGTTGAGGGCTGGACCTCCCTTGTCTCTCGTCATATCTGAGTTCTACTTTTTCCTTTTCTTTTTTTTTTTTTTTTTTTTGTCTTTTGTCTTTTGTCTTTTTCCGTGTCTGGCAACGGATCGCAACCCTCAGTGTTGCCCCCGCACCGGACCGGGGACCGGCAATGGGACCGCAACCCTCGGCGTTGCTCCCGCGCCTCGCTCAGCCAGTGAGCGGGAACCGGTCTGTATGTGGGCGCTTCTCAAGCGGCGCACTTATCCAGTGCGCCACCGGGCCGGCCCCTACTTTTTCCTTTTCTAAGACCTTTCTGTGAGCCTTTACTAAGGTTATACTACTACCACTTTTCCTAAACTATTGCCTAAGGAAAGTAATTTTCCAAAGTTTTAGCTGTGACAGCTAGAGCTAGCTGGATATTTATTAATGAAGCCCTTTTCAAGGCACTGAAAATAGTTATTCTAGTCTTAGGTGAGGGCAGGACATGTTCAGGGCAGTTAAAGGACAGGGGAGAAATGGTTTCACCAACCTGTGGTACCTAAAGATAAACAGATTAGAATGAGCCTAGCCTGTTGGTAATGCATTAGCAAATATAAAACAAATTTGGAAGCCTTTTCTTTGTTTCTGTTGGGGCCCTTCTGGATTAGGAGATTTAAAGTTGAAGAGTAGTAAAATAAGGACCAAAATAAGAGTAGTAGAATAAGGACCAGAATGACTCATTTGAAACTGGCTGATACAGTCATCTTTGGTTGCATAGTAATTACAGTTTTTTTGTTAATTCAACCTGACCTTGCCTCCAACTCTCAAGATTGAAGCCAGCAATGGAGAGTGAAGAATGTCAGCAGTGAAGGCATCATGAGCAAAGAGGGGAGACAGCAGCCAGGAATGGGCAGGAGGAGAAAAGATAGAGAAGGGAGGGAGTCAGATCAAGAGGTAGGAGTGGAAACATAAAGAAATAGAAAAGGAGATGGGAATCATTGAAGTAATGTCAAGTGTAATAAGTTCACTGTCGAAATATATTTAGTTAGGACTGCAACAAAACCTTTAAGGAATTGAGTTTAACTGTGGAAGGAAGATGGTGAACAAAAAAGGAAAGAATTATTTAAAAGTTTGTTAGATGACTTTTTAAATTTAAGATTGACACTAACACAATTGTTTAATTTTCAACATAGTAGTATTAATAGTTTAGTCATATTACTAGGGTACACTGTTCTAAGTGCTTTACATATATTGGTTCATTTAATCATCACCACAACTTTATATAAGTAGGTACTATTTCTCCCATTCTGCAGATGCGGAAACTGTACCACAAAGAGTAAGTAATTTGCCTAGGCTAGTCAGATAACAGAGCCAGGATTCCTTTGAGACAGTCTGACTACTGTGCTACAGCTGGCTTCATCACCTCTTCCTCCCCCTCTCGGTGACTTGTGTGGTGTATTTCTGTAGAAATTTATCTTGTTTTGAGAATGTAACATTCCCTTGAAATACTTATACATCTGCTAGAGTAACAAACTCTGGATGCTGTTTAAAAATCAATTTCCCTTTAGTTTTCTTCCTTTTAGTTATAGTAATTTGTGAAAGTTTATTGAACTGTGTACCAGAACACGTAAATAGGTAGTGAACAGTCCCTGTCTCTGGTGAATTGAACCTCAGTTTGAATTGTTTGGTCACTTAAACCAAGCTATCTGTACTCCTCCAATAATTGGAGAACCAAGTTTACATGTGCCAGTGAATGTTTATTGCCTTCAAAAGCCACAGACCACTAGTAATATTTCTGTTTCCCAAAACTTTTGGAATTCTTTTAAACCATGTAACAAAATCAGTCTTCTATACAAAAAGCAGTAGTATCTAGTTTGATCACCTTCCTTAGTCATCTTTAAAATTAAAGCCTCACGTGGATATTTACAAAGTATTTATCTAAAAAGGTGTTTTGTTTTGTTTTGTTTTTACAGCCCTGATGGAGTAAAGTGTTTGCAGGCTGTAGAGGAGGAAATGTGAATGGAGTTAGTGGATTTCACCAGGAACTTTGGAAGAGTGTTGGGTATTAGTGTTGCACTGGAGGAGGATGAGAATTGAGCCCTGTTAGAGGGAACAGAAAGACTTCTGTGAGGAGTGTGGGTAAATAAACCAGGAATCTACCCTGAAGATCACTGCTGTGGCTCCCTGGATACTTAATTTTTTTGAATTTTACAGATTTTTAGAATCATTAGTACATGTTCTTTCTTTCCTTTGAGGCCGTCTTCTAAGGAGACAATCTGTGTAATTTGAAAGTATTTTTTGATATTGAGGCTTATCGTTGCCACTACTACTGAAAGTTTGAAGAGCTATGATGGGAATCATAGATTTTACCAAGAAAAGTTCACTGGAGACTTGCAAGTGCCTTTTAGGCAAGTAACAGAAATTCTGGATCATCTGGCAATTAGGAAGGAAGTTTAAGTATTAAATTCAGTCTAATTTGATATTTCACTTGAGCCTCTTTTACTTCACTCTTTGACAAATAGTTTTAGCCTTTGAAGGCTACATTAGCCATTCCCCTCTTAGACATGAACAAGATAATAAATGAGAGATTATGGGAAACTGAGAGTGTCTTCATTTTATTGAGTGTTTCTTGAATTTCTTACATTGACATTGGCTCTTAGATTTTTATTGTGGCATTTGGTGTACTTTGAATTTAATACTGGTGCCTTTCTATTTATGTATTTATTATCCCCATCTCATTCATTCAGCAAACACATTGAGCGGCAGCCACACAATGCTAGATAATGGGAACACAAATGTATAACTCAGCTTCTGTGTTCAAGCTACTTCTAGACTAAGTTACTCTTTGGAGCATTCTCAGTTTTTCCAGTCTTTTCCTTGTTTTAATTTTAAAGGGAGGAAATAAGTTGAAAGTCCAAGTTGAAATTATTCAGTCCTTTTATGGTAACGTTATTTCTGGTTGTTGGGAGCCAAATTCAACTGTATTTTAGGAATGGTTTAAAGATTTATACAGCGGGAAGAGAACTTCTTGAAGTCACTTTTACTCCATTTACTCATATACAAATACATTTGGACTAGGGAAGGTCCCTTTCAGATCTAAAATTCAGTGATTAAATTTCATGTCATGTTTTAAAAGCTCTCAGAGGAAAGAACCCACTTTCTCTTTATCAGAATTTTCTCCTCATGTTAACTACCCAAATCATGTGGTTACATGACTTATGCCTCTCTCCACCTCCCTTTTGGCACCGTTTCTATATACTGATTGATGGACCCCCGAGATATAGTGAGACTCAGATGTTCATCTCTTGAAAAATAGGTACCTGAATCTTGACATTTAGAAATTATCTTCCTGAGAAATTTCTTGTATATAATCTTAAAATGTTATTTGAATTTAAAGTATGCCTGTTTTCTGAGTCAGCAGCTTGGTTTATTACTAATTTGGGGGTAGTGTTTCTCTGCTTTAATATCTTTGTAGTGCTGTGTTCTTGTACCTCTATGCCAAGAACCTAACGTACTAAACTAAAAAAAAATGCTAATTTCTGGATCTTCGACTGGCAAAGTTTATACTCTGTTGGTTTATATTACATGTTTATACCCTGGTTTTTTTTAGCCGCTTATATTATTGCTGTAGTAAGGTAATAGAAATATTAGGTAGCAATATCATTTTCAGAATTCACTTCTTATTTTGCCCTATATATCCTTTTTCTGTCCTTTAAACACGGTTGTGTAGCTCATAGCTACAAAGTGAATCGCTTGGTTTAAAAGAGCACTAGAAAGTAGTGACTGTACCTCAAAAAGGGAGTAAAATGGGTATACTTTTTACCCATTTCTCATCTTTTTTGAGGGGGGGGGCAGCTGGCCAGTATGGGGATCCAAACCCTTGACCTTGGTTCTATAACATTGCACTCTAACCAACTGAGCTAACTGGCCAGCTTCTTTTTTATTTTTTTTTTTATTTTTTTGGTTTTTTTTAAGCTATGGTGTCATCATTTTGCTTGCGTCATTTTTTTCTTTGCCTCCACAATGTGCAAATTAATATTACTTAAAGTTTCCCTTAAAGTCTTTTTCCTTTTCCCCTTTGCTGTTCTACTTGCAAAACAAGTAAAACAGATTTCATAGACTGGTAAATAAGTTCTGTTTAATGAATGTTGTATTAAAACTCATCAATCTTGTCATAGCCCAACTCACAGTTCATACTATTAATATTGCATTCTTTCCTTGCATGCCTGCCCTTTTAGAAAATAGAGGGTTTTTTCAAAATGTATTTGTTTTTAGATCACCAAATTTTTATCTTTTCTACAGATAATCTCACCTACTGCATTATTTTTGGCTGCAAAAGTAGAAGAACAGGCTCGAAAACTTGAACATGTTATCAAAGTAGCACATGCTTGTCTTCATCCCCTAGAGCCACTACTGGATACTAAATCTGAAGTATGTAAAAATTCGTTTTTTGGTCTTTTTATGAATTTGAAACTTTTTCATAAGACATTTTAATTAGTGTTGCCTTCCAAATACTGCTTATTTTTATTACCACTTTAGAATGTAATACCAAGAAGCAGTCTGACAAATATTTTATGTATGTTCATGAATTTGTATATCATTCTGAATTAAATAAAGCTTTAATTCAAGGTACTTATAAGTTTTACATTTTGTTGTTTATCCTCACAGCAAACTTGTCATATATGTAGAGGGTAAGTCATATCATTTCCATTAGCCAGGTGTAGTTGTGACCAGAAGATAAATAACTCTCTTAAATGAAATTGTATTTTAATTTTTCTAAAGAGTAATGCTAGTGTCCAAACAACATTTTTATTGTTAACATGTAAATAGACCTTATTAGAAACACCATTTAAAAATTTTCTAATTAAATAAAGCTTTAATTCAAGGTACTTATAAGTTTTACATTTTGTTGTTTATCCTCACAGCAAACTTGTCATATATGTAGAGGGTAAGTCATATCATTTCCATTAGCCAGGTGTAGTTGTGACCAGAAGATAAATAACTCTCTTAAATGAAATTGTATTTTAATTTTTCTAAAGAGTAATGCTAGTGTCCAAACAACTTTTTTATTGTTAACATGTAAATAGACCTTATTAGAAACACCATTTAAAAATTTTCTGACATTTTAAAATGGAAGCTAGAATTGTAGGCCTTTAAAATCATTTTTCTAGCATTCCTGTTTTAAGTGATTTACTTTATCAGGAAACTTTATCCACTGAATGACTACCAAATCATATTAATTCAGTTTGATTTAGGTCAGGTTTAAAGTCCAGATTAATTTAAGTTTGATGGAAGTCTATCTTATTTTATTAATGACAGGTTTTATCATAGATGTTAGCTTTGGAGTAAAATATTAATGTAGCTGTTAAATAATAGGGAATTGATGATTATTCAAAGATAGTTCTTGTAGCTTCTATTAACTTTAAAAATTCAGAATTATTTCTTGTGAATACTTGGTATTGTTCAAATAATAGAAATGTTTTAAAAATCAGCTCAGTGATCTTTCGGAATGCAGCATAAATAAAATTACAGGTACTTTCACTCTCTGAGTTTAGCAATATATTCTTACAAAAATAAATATTTATATGTAATATATTATCTCCTTATACTTGCTCAATTGGCATGATCTAAGAATGAGATAGCAGTAAATTTTTCATATCCTTTATTCCTAGAGTAATTGGAAAATAATTTCTTGAAACTGAGAGAGAAAATTCTCTGGTATTTATGTCTCCATAGGTGTATGATACATTATTTTGGTATTTTATATCTGAAATTTAGAGATTTGAGGTTTTGTTTTGATTTGTCTTTCCTACGAAGGGGAATTTAATTCTAAAAATAACTCACTGACTTACTGCGACTTTCAAGGAATTACCACGTGAAATGTCCTATAGTGGGTTCGTAAGCCTTTTTCTGAAAGGCAAATTTGGGTTTGATGTTCTTGGCTTGGTGCTTCCTGCCCTTAATGTGTCTTGAAGCACCAATGCCTGAGTACATTTTACTGTATAGACTGTAGATGTCCTTTTTTCAATTTACCTATCCCCTTTCATATTACTACCTTTAGATTGATTTTTTTGTCTTTTGTTTATATATCCTATATTAGAAACTAATTCAATTTAGAATTGTCACAGAAAATAGATTTTCTCTATCACCATCTATTTATTTCTTCCATTTTCCCAAACTACTGTGGTTCTTTTGTAATCAATATATAATTCTCGTGAGATGTGATAGTTGTGTAGTCTAGTAGTGTTATGTTTAAGCATTTTAATATTTTTGTCTGGCAGGCTTACCTTCAACAGACTCAAGAACTGGTTTTACTTGAAACCATAATGCTACAAACACTAGGTACGTATTTACATCACATATTTTTGTGTTCTTCAATGCAGTATTCTAAATAAATGGAAAGATTTCTAAAAAATTTTATTATTTAAAGGAAGTTATTTTAAAACAGGTTTTGGACCAGGATATTACTGTCTTGTTATAAGGACACTTTTTCTAAAATGTAGTTTCATGTGGCATAATTAATTAAATGATAAACGTAGCCTTCAGTATGATTTCTTAGGTTTTCAGATAGTTGAAACACTATGCTTCGCTCTGAGTTTGCACTGGAGAATAAAATGGTCCTTTAGGGCTGTTGCATGTGATTGTGATGTATACAAACATACACGGCAGTCCTTGCTGTCCTAAAGTTTATAGTCAGTATTTAATGAATATATCATATTGTCTTTAGTGTGACATAGTAATTATCTAAATGTTGATCATCCTTTTCTAAAAGTTACATCTTCGTATGCCAGGTTCGTTTACTCTAACCTTACACTTTACTGATAAAAGAAATTGAGGCCTAAGAAGGTTATGACTTACCTAAAATCATATACAAGGGTGCTTCAAATAAATTCACTGAAAGGTTCATATTATTTTTAAATTTTGTTTTTCCACAAACTCTTTGAAGTCCCTCTTTTTAATTCTGGAAGAGCCTAATAGGGTGTGGCAGGAAGAACATGGGCTTTGGGGAGATATGAGTTTAAATCTGTAGGCCTTTGACTTGCTTTGTAAACTTGAGCAAAGTTCCTTTATCTGTTCTACCTCCATTCTGTGGGGGTGCAATAATATCTGCCTTACATTGTGAATTTGTAGTTTTGGTGGGTTTTTTTGTTTGTTTTTTTGGTTTTTAGTTTTTGGGTTTTTTTAAAGATGACTGGTAAAGGGGATATTAACCCTTGACTTGATGTTGTCAGCACCATGCTCTCCCAAGTGAGCTAACCAGCCATCCCTATATAGGGATCCGAACCCTTGGCCTTGGTGCTATCAGCACCACACTCTCCCAAGTGAGCCACGGGCTGGCCCTTAGTTATTTTTATTTTATTTATTACTCCGTTTCTAAATGTTGAACCGAAGTATAATAAATCAGATTTCTATAATGACAGGTTGAGTTTATTTCAAAAGTATCTTGTTTGAAATAAATATAACTTATTTGAAGTTTTTGTAAAGTAAAAAGATACAAAAATAAAAGAATCTTATCCCCTCCAAATCCAATGATTTGGCATGTTATTGTTTTATTATACAAAATTACAGAAATTTATGAAAAGTTACAAACATTTATGTGATAATAAAAATTGAAAATGAAAAATTATATTAAAATACTGTGAAGTTACTGTTTATTATATAAAATCATCATGTGGGGCTGGCCAATTAGCTCAGTTGGTTAGAGTGCAGCCTTGTAACACCAAGATCAAAGGTTTGGATCACCATGCTTGCTGGCCAGCTGCCAAAACAAAAAATCACTGTGTAATATCCATATTGTTTATTATACATTCTTAAATATGGAGAATGAATAGTATTATTTTAAGGGGAACATTAGAACTTAGGAGATATGCCTCTGTGGGTTTGTTTAAAGTATTATTTGCATGTTTAATTACAGTAGAAATATGAGGAGTCTTCAAAAAGTCTATGGAAACATTTGTGTTATCTTTTAATTCTGTTTTTGAAGTACCAGCATATAAACAGACCACACGACAACTTTATAAATCCAATTACCCATTTGTTAGGATTTTGTTCACTTACTGCTTCTAAAGGCACTAGATGTGATCTCTGCTTTTAATAAAAAACAAAAACCCTGCCAATCCTAAGGGATGATTGGACATTGAAAGCTTTTCAACATCTCATCTTGGTTTTAGAAACAACAATTTGAAGAATCTTGAAACCTATGTGGTTCACTTGCCATATGATTTTAAGTATTAATGAAGTGTAGTTATAAACTAACTGGTTGAAATCCTTTGATCTAATGCATAGTAAAATGTAAGGGGACCATATCATTTAAAAGCTCATTTCTACCTTGTGGTCCAACAGTTATGTTTATGAAAAATGTTCTTTCCACATCTTCTGAAAGAAAGATTTGGAATATTAAGAAAGATACTACATAGTTAAATTCCAAGATTTTACTATGGGTCCAGCTTAATAATTGTATTTGCCATGATTTTAATTTGTTTTTAACTTGAGGATAATCCTAAATTAATAATAACTTAGATTTTTTAATAAATGTTACCCTTATCTTTAAATAACTTTGTTATTTTCAAAATCGGGACATTGTATTTGAGAAGAAATTATTTCTCATCTTTAGAGATATAATAAGCATATCACTAATGAGAAACTTTAACTTTGTCTTTGGATTTTTTAATAATGAAGAATATATATTTATGGTTGTGTGCTGAATGGCATTTCTCAGGCAAGTATTATAGTGGTGATTGGGAAAAAAGTGCTTATCATTTCAGGTTTTGAGATCACCATTGAACATCCACACACAGATGTGGTGAAATGTACCCAGTTAGTAAGAGGTAAGTGATCTTTGAAACTTTTAAGATAAGTATTAAAAGTTTTTTATCATCTGTAATTGATTTGGATTCTATTTTGTTCTTCTAGCCTTTTGTTGAGTTTTATTAAAATGGGAGAAATGTCATTTTGAAGCATTATTTTTTAGTGCATCTACTTATTTATCTACTTCTATTTGTGATCTACCTGGTGCATTAGCTTCCTTTAGGTGAAAATCTCATTTCACTAAAAAACTGGAGGGCTTCCAGATTAGGACTGTCCCTACCCCCATTGAGCTATGCCAGTCCCATTTTAGTTAATATTTAAGATGTAGGCCATTAGTGCACATAGGTGAAGAAAGTAAGGCTAATTTCTGGTTTATGTCAGACTTTTCATTGACTTCTTAAAAAGTGATAACATTTTAAGAATTTTGAAGCAAGCATCAAATTTTTCATATAAAAATTGCCTTTGTTAGCAGATTTGTCATTTGTCATTTTTGGAAATGTTTTGCGTATATTCATTTGAACAAAATTGAATAACATTTTTCAAAGTTCTTAGCATTACAAAAAATGGTTTCTTTTTTGTATATAATGAGGAAATAATTATAAAGCATGATACAGTTTGTGATGTGCTTCTGTTAAGCCTTTTATAAACAGGAGCACAGCGTTTTTGTATTACTTGTTTTACTATTTGTAAAGCATGTGGTACATTTTTCTACTCCTGTTAATGAATCCTGTATATCTGTTGTATCTCTAGAAATACTTTTTACACAGTTCCATGTTGTGCTGCTGCTGCTCCTTTCCTGTTTCCCATTTGAAGTGTTATGTAATCATAAAAACCACTTGGGATCCTTTTTCTGTTACTTCCCTTTTGAAAATGAAATTTTGTAGTTTTATCCTTTTGCCACCAGGCCCTTTTAGGTTTCTCCTAAACAAAATTGGTAAGGTTTTTGAAGGCCTTGTTTAGCTAAATAATCTCACATTTTATTCATTATAAATTGAATTCATTTTATACCTAAATAATGTTTAATTATGTTAATACTACATTCTAAAAAACCTGTTGCCTGATACCACAGTGGTGTTAAGAATTACACTTCTAAAAATCCCATCAATAGTTTTTTGATCCTAGTAGCGTGTTATCATTGTCAACTAGCATATATTTAATTATGGTTATATGAATATATTTTATAGCACATTCTTATTCCCAGTATTACAGTATAGTATAGAATTGTATAGACGACTAATTGTAGATGTTGAATTGAGAAAAAAAGCTTGGGGAATAAAAAGCGTAGTTTCCTTTTCCTGAAAATTTAAAAGGGTATATAAGCTTAAGCTTTGTAAGAATAATGGAGAGCCATATTGAGAATATTAAATTGAGAGCCTAATGAAGAAAGGTAATAGTTGAAGGAAGATACTAATATATGTTTTAAAATATTAGTTATGTACATTAATTTAGTAGGATATATTACTTGTGAAATTTGAGTCAGCTTCCTCAGATCCTTTATCAAAATTTAATATTTTTTATACATGCTCTCCTGCATCTAAAGAATTTAGAGACATGAAGTCAGTTTGTTTGAAAAATTAAATACTAAATTTTAAGACATTCACAAAAACTACAAATTTGATATATCATCCAAAACAAAATATTTAAATCTGATTTTTTTAATAATATTTAAAATGTGACTGATTCTTAAATTTGACAAGCCATACATGTTTCATTTCATTTTGTCTGACTAACATTTTAGATAACTATAGTTTCTATCTCCATTTTTAAAATGTTCTTTCATGTTTGGTGTCTTTCTTTTTTTCCCCTCTTGCTCTGTTGCAACTTTCAGCTAACAAAAATACATTTCCCTTCCATTTGTCTGTTGCTCGGTGACTGTTTAAAGTTTTGGGGGGTTTTTTTTGTTTGTTTATTTTATCTGACTGGTAAGGGGATCGCAACCCTCAGCACAGTGTTGCCTGTACAATGCTCAGCCAGTGAGCGCACCGGCCATCCCTATATACTATCCAAACCCGCAGCCTTGGTGCTACCAGCGCCACAGTTTCCCCAGCAAGCCACGGGGCTGGCCCTGTTTATAGATTATTGAATGTAGATACATTTTTAGGTGAAAACTGCTATGGCAATTTAAAATCAGTTTTTCTTCCCTCTACATATTTTGACTCTTGGGGGCGGGGCAGGGGAAATAAATTTGATTTCTGTAGAAGTCCCCCCTCTGGAGATGCGAAAGTTGATATTATGCTACTTTGCTACAGAATTGGCTAATGTCATTTTACAGGGACCTTTCACTTCTGTGATTTCTCCTTCCCTCCCCACCAGGAAAGAATGCCATACTTAAGTCACAGTGCCTCCAAGACATCTGATGATTTGACACTCTTCCTTAGCACAACTCTACTAAACCCAAATCTCTTTTATAAAACCTTTATGTTGGTGATCCACATGGGGCAGCAGGGATTACAGGTGCCATGAATAAAAAAATAGGAGGGTGGGAAGGCGTTGGAGGCCTGTTAGAAAGGGATGGAGTTGAGTTGAGCAGAGGGGAAATGTACATCAGTGATTATGAATGTAACGGGGGGGGGGGGGGGGGGGG